ACACACACACATATGGTGTGTGTGTGTGTGGGTGCGAAAGGTGAGCCTCGACTGACCTCTCTCCAGGCGTTTGAGCGACTGCACAATGTCGGCAAACATCTTGTCAGACAGCGCGTTGCGGTAGCCAGAGCGGTCCCATCTACCACCACAACAGACAAACACACACACACGCACACACACACACACAACACGCCCATTCATCTGCTTGTGCTCGTGGTTCCATCTGCCACACTCACGTGAGTATGGCTGTCGTGTCCTTGTCATTTTCCCGTCTGCCTCTGAGGTCCACCGAGATGTACTTTGGGAACTGCTTGCCGCCGTAGAACCGCTGTTGCTGCCACAGGGAAACAGCAGATCTGTGTGGCGACACCGATCCTGACGCCGACGAGCCGGCTGCTGTGTGCCTGATGAGGGGCTGCAACCGCCTCAGCGTGTGATGGCTGAAATTGCTCTGCATCTTCTCTGGAGGAAAATCGTGATCCAAGCTCGCAATCCTTGGCCAGGACAGAGGAGTTTTTCTGCATTTGTCGCTTTTTGCGTCCGTCCAGGGAGAGATCTTTCAGCAGCTGAGTGCGCACTCCGTTCGCAGACCCCTAGCGATGATGATGGGTCGTTCTGGCCTTGCCGTGTTGGTTGGCCTGGCTGCCATCATACAGCCTCTCCTCGCCCATGGCCGACGTAAGCCGCACCACACTACATCATCAGCACCTCTACACGCCGAATGGACCTCACATCGGCTTTCTGCTGTTGTTGCGATATGGATTCTGGGTGGCTGATCTATGGCTGCAGAGATGTCGGCGGAAGCTCAAGCTCTTGGGCACGGTAGGCAGACCGCCCATCTCTCCATCCATCCATCCATCTCTCCATCCATCCATCCATCCATCTCTCCATCCATCCATCCATCCATCCATTGGATGTGTGTGTGTGTTTTGTGTGCAGGGGGGAAGATGGCGGCTTTTTAGCAGCAGATGTCGCTCGTGCAGCTGCAGCTGGACCACGTCGCCAGCAGCATCACCGCCGCCCACCAGATGACGGCCGCCGCCCAGCAGACGACGGCCGCCGCCATGGGAGCCATCGACAACGCCCACCGCCTCATCCTCCTTCAGATGAATACCGCCAAGAAGGCCAAGCAGCAGTCGGGTAGTGCGCGAACCGACAGACTCCCCGATAGAACGACGGGCGGCCGTCTATCTGTGTGTGTGTGCAGGTAGAGATTGGTGCAAGCTGTGGATGGAGAAGGAGGAGCAGGGGGAGCTCGAGGTGGACGAGTGCAACGACAAGAGCGCCATTTGCCTGGTTTAAGAGGAATTTATCCGCCAGCAGGACCTGACCCTTAACGGCGAGTGCATCTCTGCTGAGGAGGCGAAGAGCATGTGCGGCGAGGCCGAACAGGAGATCCAAGGGCAGTGGTTCTGCAAGGGCAAGGACTTCAAAAGCACGGACCTGACAGAGATGTAGAAAGCAAAGGACGGACAGAGGGAGGGAGGGAGAGAGGGAGGGAGGGAGAGAGGAGGGGTCGGGCGGAATAGATGCGTGTGCGGCCAGATGGGTGGAGGAATGGATGTCAGGTGCCTCACACACTCACTCTGCCACGGGTGGCTGTGGGCGGGCGTGTGCATCTAAGGGCGTGTGGAGCATTAGACTCCATTCAAATTTTAAGAGGGAGTTTCGTCCAAGTTTGTCGATCCATTAACCCGGCCGTCCGTCAGTGAGTCTGTGGGTAAAACAGCTCAAAGCGGTAGCCAGCGCCACCAACACCACCAGCGATGCCCTGATGAGCCAACCACACACACACAAACAAGGCTCGGGTCAAATCGTGTGCTTCCTTACCACTCCAGCGCACCTGGCTTTGCTGCTGCTGCTGCTGCTGCATGAGCCTGGCATTATGCGCCAGCACGGCTTGCCCTCGGCTATCAGCAGCACTCGTCCCACCACACCGCTCGGCCGCCTGCTGCAGACAACTCATTCCCTGTGCACACACACACACACGTGTGACGTCTGTCCGTGTGTGTGGGTGTGGGGGCTAGGTACGTAGTCGATTCTGCCGCCTGTGGCTGCGACGACAGCCGCGTTATTCCACACCACCCAGTTGCCGGACTCCAGACGGATGGCTGCAGGTTTGTCACACACACATTCACGGCACACAGAGTGGCAGAGTGATCGCCTTCTCCTCTCCCGGGTTCTTATGTTGCCCCACCGTGCAGGATGGCGTCCAGCGCCTTGTCGAGGCTGCCCGTCTTGTAGTGGGCATACGCTGACCGACCAGCACATCCCACATGGATCGATGGATGGACGGATGGATGGATAAGAGCGTCACGTCAGTCGCCGACCGAGTGCATTTTGTGCGTATGCGGCTTCAGACATGAGGGAGAGGCCCTCGCTGATCACAGGAATGCCCTCGGCATAACGCTCCAGCACTACAAGAGAGAGACACAGAGAGAGAGAGGGAGAGGCGGACGGGTGTGGCCGTATCCCTGTCTGTCTGTCTGTCTGTGTGGCGTACCGATGAGTGTGAAGCCAAAGTCGATGAGCAGCAGCCATCGGTTGAAGTTTCCGAAGCCGTTGAAGTGCCCACCCAGCACCTTCTGGAACCTCTCGTACGCGTCACGAAACCGATTCTGCACCAAGTAGATCTGCGCGATGCGGCCGCCATCCATCCATCCATCCATCAGAACGGCACACCTGCCTGTCTTCACCTACTTGAATGACGGCGTAGTCAGTGAGGGCGTTGTCGTCGAATATGGCGAGGCTCTCATTGTACCAGCGGAGGGCTTCGTCATACCTGCCCGAGCTGTGCAGAGTGGCCGCGTACATGTGGAGCACCTGCACACACACACACACACACCAGACAGACAGACAGACACCCAGACACACAGACAAAGAGAGATGGGAGAGATCAAGAGACATCCACCCAACACGCGTGTGGGTGACCTTTGCTGATCGTGGGTTGACGCGTGCGTCCGCCACGAAGAGGCTTGCTCGGGACGACCACTGCTCGACACGCACGGCAGACCGCCAGACATACCACCCTGACACACACACACACACACACGCACACACAGGGATGGACAGACAGCATTTCCTTGCTCTCAAGTCGCTGATGTACCTTACCGCCAAGCAGCAGCAGAAAGGCCATGTAAGCCGCCAATACGGCGACACGTCTACCCCGTCGACATCCCGCCGAACGCGCCTCCCCAGGCCCCCACAGGAGTCCCCCTGATCAACACACACACACACACACACACAGAGACAGAGGGGAGGGACGACTCCAGACGCATCCGACGCTCGCGTAGGTACCGATGGCCGACAGCACAAGAGACCATCCCACTGTGGAAGGATACAGCAGCCTCTCGCCGATCACTGTGCCTAAACACACACACACACGCACACACACGCACACACACACACGAACAGACAGACGCACACACGGTGTGTGGATGTGTGTGTGGGTGGTGGCTGCGTACCGACAGTGAAGAACACGTTGGACGCCGGCATGAAGGGAACGATAATGAAAGACAGCCCCATCAGCAGCTGAGCACCTGGGGTCGGCCTCGCTCGCCCATCCTTGCCATTCTCACCATTCTCGCCATTCTCCTCCCCACCAAACACGTCTCTAGCGGCGGCTTGGTCGACAGTCGTCCCTTTGGACACGTCAGCGTGCTCCTCGACAGCTTCCTCCTCAGCCGGGCTGGCAGGCACCGTGGATCCCTCCCGCTCACTGCTGACGTCTTCGTCTGCTGCAGAAGCACTCGATGTGTCCTCGGTCGGCTTCTCTTCAGCACTTATGGTGTTGTCCAGTAGTGGCTGTTGGCCTTGGCTGCCCCCACTGCATCCGCGGAGTGGGTGGATGAGGCAGCGCACCAGCTGGGGAACGTGCCTCTGAGGCCATCGTATGGCCAGCAGGCCGTAAACCCCTCCAGAAAACAGCCTGGCCGTCAACGAGTGGAAGAGTATCAAAAGGGTGGTTGTGTGGCCCATGGCTTACAGCGCATAAACGAGCAGGGTTTGTATGCATCTTGGATCGGTGATCGAGGTAACCATCGGGACAGAGTCGTACGAGTAGTCCCAACACAGGTTCCACGGCAGGACCATCAGACTGACACACACACATCCATCCATCCATCCACACATCCATCCATCGGCTGACTCACCCGAAATATATCCTATGGAGGTTCATGTACGAGAGCCATCTCGTCAGCCGGCTGCTCTCATACGGAATCGGCGTGTCCACTGGCGAGAAACCTACCTGCACAATGCAGCCCAACACACCACACCACACCACACCACACATCACTTGCACCCCGCCCCTCCCCCCCTCTCAGTGACCTGTGTTCCGCCCACGAGGGCGGACCTGAGCTTGAACAGGCAGAGAAACGACGCTAGCAGTCCGCTGCACCGCCACAGAGATGGCGGGAAGAGGATCATCTCACATGCGGCAAGGAAGACGGGCAGCGTGAAGCCCGTCTCCTTGCTCAGACCCGCCAGGATGGAACACGCGACTGCCACGATAAGGCTGGTGGCTTCGGTGCTGCGAGTAGTGTGCCGTTTGGCACCTCCTTTCTGCATGCCGAAGTAGGCGAGTGCGCCTGCCAGGTAGAAGAAGGTCGCCAGGGCGTCTGCACGACCCACCAGGTAGACGATATTCTCTAAGGACAGACAGACAGACAGACGGAGCACCTCACCACCTCACACGTGGGGCCTCTCCCTCCCTCCCTCATTCCCGCCTGTGTGCACTGGATGTGCTGCAAAGAGCCCCGAACTCGCCGCCGCCAGCAGAGGGGGCACGCCACACACCACCACCTGCAACGCCAGCACCAGCAGCGAGTTGCTCGTGTGCAGCACGCAGTTGAACAGCCGCAGGGGCCTGGCGTCCGGCACGCCAGTATTGCCGCCCCAGCCCCAGCCCCATTTGATCTGCGCCGCGTAGGAGAGGATGGTCAGCGGTCGGTAGGACTTGTGGGTCCACCCTTGCCCCTCCTCAAAGTGAAGACGGTTGCCCCAGAAATCGTTCGACAGCACTTCCTGTCCACACACACACACACACACAGACATGGACAGCGGTTGGTGCTCTCTCTCTCTCTTTCTCTGTGTGTGTGTGTGTGTGTGTGTGTAACCGGCAGGCAGGCTCACTTTGAGCGGCGTTTCGCCTCGGGCATCGGCGTTCCTGACGACGGCGAAGAGCTCATCGACGAACCAGTCGGTGTAGTGGCGGCACCGATAAAACACACCGCTCGATAGCACCACCAGCCCGATGCACCCCAGCCACAGGACCAAACAATGCACGCTGACGATGCCGTCCTCTCTTTTGTGGCCGTGGGGGGGCTGGGTCTCGGCGAGATCTTCGTCGGGTTTTGTGCGGCTATGATCTTTCCGCGCTTCACCATCAATCACACCAGGCGCGGGATTGGCAGTGTTCTCGGTTGGTGACGGAACTGGCGCAGCTGGCTGATGGGCCGTCGTGGCTCCGGGATCTGTCATTTGATGCCGAGATCTTGGCGAGCTGAATTTGTCGATCTGGCGAGGTTTGGTCGGTTTTCGGCCCGGACTGAGAGTGTGTACAAGATTACAAATTACTGTACACAACAGCATGCCATGCAGCGGACAGCCATGCACCACTGTTTGCCCAGCAAACCTCACCTTTGCTGGCCACGTCAGGTGACTCCCGCAGCAGCAGCAGCAGCGGCAGCAGCAGCGCCACTTACACCACACCACACCACACTCATACTTACTCGTACGCATGTGTGTCGTATAGATCAGCAAAAAGACTCGTCCTCCGCCCTCTCTCTCTCCTGTCGCCTCTCTCTCTCTGCGCTCCGACTTGTAGTGCATGTCGATTGATGTCACTGTCACGCGTCCGCACGCACACGCAGCGTCACAGCCAGGCAGCCAGGCACCATGGAAAAAGGACGCTCGTCCCATCTATCCATCCATCCATCCGTCCCATCTACCCATCACCAGACGGAATTATGTATACGTCCACACACATGACATGCAACAAGGGCCACCAGTAGGTAGACAGACGGCAGGAGGGGAGAGAAGGCAGATAGGGTGCACGGCACGGCGCGGCGACGAAGGGCCAAATGATAAATAGGCCCTCTCTGTGTGTGTGTTGCCTTGCCGAGACGCGAGAGGGAGAGGGAGAGAACACACGCATCCGCACACGCCCGCCCCTACACAGAAAGCAAAAGGAGCCTGCCTGTTTGTGACGTGACCAGCTCGCTTGTCGTCACACCGGCAGATAGATAGGTCCGTACCGCATGTGTGTGTATATCACATCGCCGTCCACCCGACCCGTGCACCGCACCGTTATCGCCGGACGGACGAAAGGCAGACGGGCCAATACAACGAACCACACACACACACACACCTCCTCAGTCCGCCCCCGAAAAAACAAACGTCACCCTTTAGATAAACCAAGCCACTCACTCATTCACACCCGCCACCCGCCCACCCACCCCACCCAGCCCCCACTCTCTCGGCCTGCCTGGTGTCTGTCTGTCTCTCTCTCTGTTAAAACGACACCTACCAGACACACAGACGGACAGACAGGCAGAACGGCAAGGGGAGGACTGGACTGGCTGCACAATGAAGACAGTGACTGAGGGAGGACGGGGAGGGACGGGGAGGGGGGGAGCTATTCACACGTCCGGGGGAAAGGCAAAGCAAAGCCAAGCCAAGCCAGGCAGAGGGAGAGGGAGAGGTGGCTGGGCTGTGGTGTGTGTGTGTGTGAGGCACGCCACACGTCACTTGCGCCTCCTCAGTTCCCTCTCGGGTGTGAACTCTGGCTTGCCCGTCCCGTTGATCAGGGGATCTGATATATGGAAACATGGGATGGATGGATTGATGGATGGAGTGGGGGTCAGTATTTTCTTGTGTCGTTTCTGTGCGTCTCTCACCTTTCCTGTAGTATCGCCCGTTGTTGCCAGCCTGCAATAACACCACACACAGCAGCAACAGAGGCACTCTGTCAGTGACCGATTCTCTCTACCCCTCCCTCTCTGCATGTATGTGTGTGTGTGTGAGTGTGTGCATACGTGTTCCACCCCGATGGCGTCCTGCAGCCTCCGCACGTCCTCTATCAGCTGGGCCAGCCGGGCACTGTCTGTCGAAGGCGACCGACGCTGCAGCAATCAACACACACACACACACACACACACAAAGACAGACACACTCCACACACACATCAGAGAAGGATGGCGTGGGCTGGTTCGCGCGCGTACCTTTCCGCAACACCTGGCGATGATGAGCCACAGGAGTCCCAGGACGGCCAGCACGCCCCCAATGGTGGCCGCCCGGACGGCGTAGTAGACCTTGAAGAAGCACTGCTTGGTCGTCTTGTCCCGCTTGATCTTGGCCGGCAGCTCCACCCCGGCGCAGAACGAGTCCAGGTTGATGCACCCGTTGGCGTGGATGACGCTCGGCTTGACGCCGTTGTACACGCGCACCACCCGCTTCTCGTCCCGGTCGACGTCGAGCACCCCCGTCCAGTCGAAGTTCTTGTCGGTGAAGTGGAAGAGGGTTTGCCAGTAGGCGTCGAGCAGCTTCTTGGGCCACAGGCAGTAGAAGAGCTCGCGGCGGTAGTCCAGCCCCCAGTCCTCGCGGAACCGGTCGCGGCCGAACTCCCACGCGAAGGCGTTGATCAGCGGCTGGTCGTTGGTGTCGGACGGCACCTCGATGGTCGTCATGAGCTCCTCGAAAAAGAGCAACGCCGTCTGGGCGTATCCGATCCACCCGCCACTGTTGATGTCCTGAGACCACGTGTGCGGCAGGTGGTGCACCACGTAACGCCCCACCAGCATCAGCCAGCGCAGCATCGGGTCCTCGACGTCAGCAGGGTCGGGCTCGGCGCTGAAGATGAGCTTCCGCCGGTACGAGAAGAAGCGCGACAGAATCTCCTCGGGCGGCGAGTTGAGGAACGTGTCGAAGCCGTCAGAGAACATGACCAGCGAGTCGGGCGGCAGGCAGCGGAGAGCCTCCTTAAGAAGGAATATCTTGGTCGAGGTGCCCTTCCACCGCCAGCCCCACCCCAGGATGACCACGTTGATCTTGTACCGCTTGGCGCTCTCGAGCAGTGCCGGCAGGTACCCCCTGTTGCTCGTGGCCACCGTGATGAGCGTCAGGTTATGAGTGGCTGTGGGCGGCGCGTTGATGGTCGTGTTGGTCAGCACCCGCTGGCACGCTGGGTGGTCCGCTGACCGCTGTGTGAAGGCGTAGTGGTGGTCGTCGGCAGACGCGACATGAAGCACGCTCAACAGGCATAATGCGAGTGCCGCGAGCAGCTGATGTGTCGATAAGGAGGCCGCCATGCCGCACAGCGCCGGTTACGTGGCCAATTACGGCTCGTGTGGGAACTCTTCTGCGTGAGAAGGCGGCTGCAACTGTGCAATACCACGAGCGAGCAGGAAGTAGCTCTAAAAACGATAAAGAAGAAGCTGCTGTGATAGCAGGCTCACTACCGAATCCTTCGAACCCTCCTTGGAATGAGCAATTCCAAAGCTCGCAGCTTCAAGCTCGCACTTTTCCAAGACTTTTCGGGTTGAAAAAGCCCTCAGTCAGATAAGCGCTGTTTGGAGTCGGATGAGCGAGACCAAGCGGATCCTGCCGTCGGTGATTGGCAGCCAGAGCAATCCGGTGGGCCTCATGAGCGGCGACAAGATGAACGAGCGAGCTGCTGAGCTCACCAAGACCATCAAGACACACCTGCAGACGATGCGGCCATGGGTGAGCTGCTGCCAAGCAAGGCAGCCTCGCTGAGTGCTGTGCTTTAGTGTTTCTGCTGCCTGTGTGTCTGTGTGTCTGCAGGACAGTGAGTTTCTGAACAAGGAACAGTTCGCCAAGCCCACGTCGTCAGCAGAGGTCAAGTCGCGTTTGGAAGGCAACCTCTCGTTCTTTGCCGTCAACTACATCCTCGTGTGCGCTGCCGTCGGCTGCATCGCCGTCGTAAGGACAACAACAGACAGACAGACAGACAGACAGACGAGACAGACACGCCGGTGACGGCCTTGCCTCTGTGCGTGTGTCTAACTGCAGCTGCTGAACTGGCACCTGCTGATTTTGGCGGTCATATTGGGCGGCGCATGGTTCTGGCTGCTCAGCCAGCCGTCGAGCATCAAGATCGGCGACCACAGCATCGCCAAGGTGCACGCACAGGTGGCCCTGGCGGCCGTGTCGCTGCTACTGGTGTTCCTCTTCGCTGGGACCGTTGTTTTCGCCATCATTGGTACGTGTCCGGGAGGGAGGGAGGGAGGGAGGGAGGGAGACGGCTTGAATGGGACCTGTCTCTGTCGTACGTCTTTGTTTTGTGTTTGTGTGTGTCAGGTATGAGTGCCGTGTTGGTGTTGGGCCACGCCATCTTCCACAAGGGCAAATGCGAGGAGGAAGACGAAGAAAGTACGGAACACTCGAACGCAATGCGTTCAGTCTTCCTCTACGTGTTCGTTCCTCTGTGTGTGTGTCCTGCAGCTGGTATCTGAGTCACCAGTACTTATGACGGGCGTTTGCTTTCAATCCTACCGACCGACATGTGTGGCTGGCTAGCGTCTCTCTCGTGTGTACAAAAGGCGGCTGCCTTTTTCCCAGCGAGAGAGGAGAGCTGTGTGTCCTTGTACAGTCTAGCAGAGGGTATGCCCCGGAGAAGCCTCTCCCTTTTTCGGTGTAGTTTTGCTCCTAATGTATCAATCAATGCATTCACTAAGAGATTTCTTCTTGTTTCGTTGGCTGCCGCTGACGCACGGATGTGACACCTCCGCCTCGCCCTCCATGCCTTGGGGGCGTAGCGAGGGTGTCATGTCCATCGCCAGAGACAGTGACAGACAGGAGATGGAAGGAGAGTCGTGTTGGTATGTCGTGTGTACATCGGGTGGCATGGGTGAGTATGTCTTGATGACGACGTGAATGTCTGTCCTCCTTCCTTTCCAGCCAACGGGTAGTTCGTGCGATGCCTGCCGTCGGATGTCGCACACAATGCCACGGGCGTCGCAAGCATAAGGGGCAGCCACATGCATGAAGGTCATAAAGTGATCGCTTTCCCACGTCACGAGACACAAGACATTGTGTTTGGCATGTCATGCACAGCCCGTGATCCCGCGTAATGGATTAAGGAGGTAACAGAAAAACCCCCTCAAACGCATGCACTCTAGTTCTTCAAGATCATGAGTTGCCCTCCTCCGTCGGGGGGTCGGGACTCGCTCGGCGTCTACCGCGACCGCCGAACTTTCCTCAGTCAGGAGCACACTGTTGTGTGCGTTGACGTGGGCTGGCGGAGGCAGCAATGCGGGCAATAAAGAGCCTAGAGCAGCCAAACGTAAAGTTAATCCCTGATAGTAGATATGGAGGAGCCAGCTTCGCGAGTACAGATGACGAATGATGCAGAGGTTTGAACCAATGCGGTTGCACAACACATCGCCTGGCCACAGTGGGGGCTGCATGCAAAAAGACCGTGCCGAAATGCAAAGCCCCCAAGCTCGCACGGCAGCCCCCAGCAAAAGACGGTACCGAATGAAAAAGTCTCGGTGGCCCCAATTACAAACGAACGACACGAACTTCGGGTAAGAGCGTGCCTCGCTCGCTAAAAGCTCGCGAGTCCCGAATGATGAGCCTGAGTGAGCCGCGACCCCCACCGTGCCCCCACATCGCGGGCGTAAGTACTGGCAGCTGAGCCATCAAGAAATGACGGCTTCTCTTCGGGCACTATTTTGCTTCTACTCGATAGATCCTTCGTGCATTCGGCTTCTACTCGATGATCAGCACCTCAGCCCAGTTGATTCCCCGTCTGAAGAAGCCGCGTGATGATGGCGATGAGTCTCTCTTGCATTTCTGGTGGTCCCTGGTGGTTGCGTGGCTAATTTCCGTCCTTGTGCCCGGGGCCTCTAACCACTACGGCACGCCACGTAAGCACCAGGCTGAAATGGATAGTGACACAAATGCGCGCATATGTGTGCATTGTATGCAGCCGCCGGCGACTGGGTTCACCGGCCGCACTCATGCTCTTATTACTACAGTATGCACGCGCACCTGACGCGCACGCACGGAGTCCATCGTGTTTGTTGAATTTGTTGGTGTCCTTGTTTCCGCACTCAGTCGACACGACGGTCACGGAGGACTACGTAACTTTGCGCGCACTGCAGACCGATCGCATTCATGCCTTGTGGTGGTGTCTCTGTGTGAATGAAGTGGGAACTGAAATACGCCTGCGAGAATGCGAAACCGGAGTGGAGCGGTTCACTTGTCATCATCGACGATGGATACGAGAGCGAGTGGCTGGCGGACTACCTGCGGGCCGAAGGCGACGATGGCAAAAAGATGTGGGTGCTATATACACGAGTAAGAGATATTGTATGTCCAGACAAACAAGATGTCTCTCGTGAGCCTATCTGTTCACATGTCATGACATCGAATGCAGAACGGTCCTGATCCCGGTGAGGTACCCGAAAACATGCCTGATATCGGGGGCTCATCGGCGGAGCGGGGTGGGTAGGAGCCCAACGAAACTGCTTTCTGGGGCTGGGACGCCCCGAGCACTGGCCTGTGGGACGTCTCGTGGGACGTGTCTTATCCCTGGGACCATTTTGATGGCGACGGGGCCCTTGCTATTGTCAAGGGTAGTGATCTTGAGGTCCCGGTAAGTATGCAAAACGATCTTTAAGATACAGGCACGTGCACACATACTGGACTGGGTATGGGTGCTCCACATATGTCGATCAGTGGCACCTGGTACTAGAGACTCAGGACAGGACCCAAACCTACCGGGCAATGGTATATGGCAGCCAGGCAGGCAGGG